TTTAAAAAGGAAGAGAAGGTTGGGCGGGTGGGTGGCTTCTCACTCCTGCTCTTGATCTATAGGGGGAAAAAATCCAGACTCGTGGAGGGGGGGGCTTGGGGGGCGCTGGGGAAAGGGCTTTGCAGCAGATCCCCCCCTTCTTTTAAAGTACGGTAGGTCTTCGACGAGCCTCTCGTGGGGAAGGGAGCCGGGTTTTGTTTTATTTGGGGTTTCTGTTTTGTTTTTTAATTTGCCCCCGAAACTGTAGCTGCGATCAGAGGCAGACAAAGAAGACGGAGCGACCTCTCCTTCGGAGCTCCTTCCCCGGTCTTTTCATTTAAAAACCGCAAAAAAGCAGACCCTGAACTTTATAGCAACAACCGAAGGCGAAAAAAAGCAGGCGGCGGATGGGAACGAGCGGCGTCTCGGTGCGGGGAGAGGGACGGACGGCTGTGCCTTTCTGGTGGAAATATATGTCTTATCCTACCACATCCCCGCTGAATTTCCTTCGGATCCTGGCAGAAGACGCTGGTAAATGGATTTTCCTGCCTCCCCTTCCCGCCTTTCTGTTTCTTCTTTTCTTTCTTGAACAGGGTTTAAAAAAAAAAAAGATTTGAGTTTTCTCTCTCCGTTTCGGCGCTCAAAACGTTGGCAAGGTTGGCCCCGGTGGAAAAAATGGAAGGGTTTTTTTTTGGGGGGGGGATTTGCAGGAGGGAGGAACAAAGCTACCTTTGGATCCAGATCGGAAAGTCTGCGCAGTCTTTATGCGCTTATGCTCAGTACTTTTTTTTTAAAACTCTGATGTGAGCCGTGATGAGTTCAGTCGGGGGCTGACATAAGGTAGATGTTTGTGTAAGGATAGCATCTTTTCAAAGGTTAGGGCTTTTTTGGGGGGGGGGTTGAACTTTCCGCGTATTAACCAGTTGGATTTCCTGCAAATGTCACCCCTGTACCAAATCGTAGGACTTTTGAAAGGGGCGGTGGGAAGCAGGAGAGGTAGCCAAAGGCAGATGGCACAGAAATGCAGTTTTGCATTTCGTGGAGGGTGGGGGCTCGGGGGCAGCGCTACTACAAATGATTTGTTTGTACCGAGTGCTTAGGTTCTTTTCCTAATCTGCTCCCTTCTGGGTAGAATAATATCTGAAAGTCCAGCTGTTTCCATCCGAAAGGAACTCTGTGAATGAGACGAGGGAGACTTCTAGCATAATAGTAGTAGAAGTAATAATAATAACAATAATAACAGTTACAGTACTTGGTTAGAATCTGAACCATCAGAGAATCCCCAGTCTAAAGACGGTGATATTTGTTGGATGAATCAAGACAATAATAATGCTATTATATACCATTCAAAGTGTTGACTGATATGTTCACAACAACCCAGTGAGGTAGGTCAATGCAGTAGTCTTCATACCAGGAGAAAGCAGCTTCTGTAAGTTGCTTGCAATCCTAAATGCCTTTTTTTGGGGGGGGGTGCAGTGTTCAGAGTTTCTCCTAGTTGATTTGTGACACAACAATTTGATAAATAAAATAAAGTGATTGCACCACAGAATTTCAAGGCTGCCGTTGCCAAAAACGGATAGTACCATGTCTGGCCACTTTAAGGCCAAACTTATAGTTTTGTATAAGTTTGGGGGAAAAAAGAAAAACTCCAAACCCATATTCCAGCCCTGCTGACTAGTCTAAGATGTATATTTTCCATCAGTGCCCTATCCATGGCCACATGTCCCCACTGTCAGGAACACAAAGAGCCCCCTAAATGAGCCACGGTGGTTTATGGCAATATTCCTTACAACAGTCTAGGGAGGTAGGCCAAGAGTGGTTATCCCGAATTGGAGCCCGGAGCAGGCAACGGAGTGCAAAATTGATCACTTGCCTAAATCCACCTTGTCAAGTTCCCTTAAATCACAGATCTTTAGTTTCTTGAAATTCCTCTGCCAGGTATGAGTAATTTATTTCTCGAAATTGCTTTTAAATCCCCCTCACTCCCATTAGACATGTTATGAGAGAAGGTTTGCGTTACAGAAAAGCTTGGGTTACAGATAAATGTGCATTCCCAGAGGTATTATAGGATGAAATAACCATTCCACTTCCCTTTCCTTCTTCATATCAGGAGCCGCGATGGACAATGCCTAATCTGGATTATAAATCCCAATCCACACGGATGATCTAAGGGGGCATTTGAAGTTCGTGTTCTGTTCATATTTCGCTTGTTTGGCCGAGGAAATTGGGGGCTTGGCTGCCCCTGACTTTGGATAAAGATGGCCAAGTGGTTTAAAGATTATCTGAGTTTTGGGAGCAGGAGGTCTCCCCCACAGCCCCCCAAACCAGATTACACCGAGAGTGAGATCTTAAAGGCGTATCGTGCACAGAAGAGTTTAGACTTCGAAGATCCGTACGAAGACGGGGAAGGCAAAGCCGATCCAGATCCTGGAGGATCGCCTAATAAGGGGTCCGTCTGCGGTGGCAATTTGGAAGGAAAATACGGGTCCCCCAAACACCGGCTGATCAAAGTGGACGCCTCCGATCTTAACCGGAGCAAAGCTCTCCTGGCCAGTGCTGCCGAAGAAGCAGCCGCCCCGTTAGAGAAGGTAAAAAACTGTTCCGGCAGCCTCTGATGCAATTGAAAGCAAGCCATGGGTGTCCTGGGACGTCTTCTTCCCCTGCAAAAGAGGCTTCTGTT